CCGGTTTCTGTTCTGCCTCTTCCTCTAGTTCAAGTTCTGGCTCGGATTCTGACTCCAGTTTTGGCTTCACTTCTGGTTCAGCTGGCTCTGAATTTGGTTCAGGTGCTAGCTCCAGATGAGGTTCTGGCTCTGGCTCCAATTCAGGCGTTTCTTCTGGCTCCTGCTCCGACTCTGGTTCTGGCATTTGCTCTGCTTCTTCTTTCAGCTCCGAATCAGGCTCTGGAGGTGATGGGGGAGCAGCTTGCATCAAAGGCTCTGTAAGAGATTTCGGATTGGAAGCATGAGAAAGAATGAAGTAAAATAAACCCAGGCTAGAATGCACTACGCTTGCCGGTGCATTCACGTGTTTTTGCACCAGACTCGAAGTACTCAGGTCGTTAAGTGTGTGAACGGTTGTTGCTTTACACCAATTTTTGCGTTTACTAGTGTAAATCATCTTAAATTTTGCATAAAGGAAATGGACAATTTCCGTTTAACGGTCTTTCTTTGAAAATGAACTAGCTAGTAAGTATTTCTCGTCAAAACTTTTAATTGTTCGTACGTGAAAACTACACATACCTGGAGGCTGAATTTGAGAAGTTGTACTTGGACAGGGAAAATTACTCTAAAATTTCAGCTTTCTAGCTTTTTTAGTTGCCGAATTAGGTCCCGCCAAGAGTTTCGCGTGCGCGTACGTGAGTTGCCCAACATACCTGGGGGCTGAATTTGAAATCCCAAACATGCACAAAAAATATCCCTGCAAAGCTTCAGCTCTTTACCTTGTCTAGTTCGCGAGATCGCTTCCCGGCCAAAGAATTTGCATGTTTTTTTGGAGTGTCCGTACGCGGGACCCAGGCGTACGCGGATGATGATATTAAAGCGGGAGAGTCGCACATGGTGTGATTTTAAAATGGGAGGCGCCCAAAGTTTCAGCCCTGTAGTTTTCTTGGTTCTTGAGTTGAAAGTGGGTGAAAAAAGTGCGAACACACACATATACACACACGCACAGCCTCTTGCCAATATGCTTTTTTGCATTTGCATATACGCAAACACGCATAAAAAACTAAGCGGATGATATGGTAATACAGCTGATATCTATTCCTTAAATGGCATTATACTTCCTCCCCAGCTGAACAACTAGCTGTTCAATAATAAGTGGTAAACATTTACTGGTTTCATGATGGAAATCAGCATCCCCAGCCAGTTCACATGCATAATGAACCTGCAAAAAAACATTAGCTCACTGAAAGAAACGACCAGTGAATGGGGTAGGATGTGGACACAAAACAGTGAAATTTCGGGAACTAGCAAAACCAGTACCCTGAGCGGCGGTCGTTCGCCAGCTTCAACTTTAATTGCTTGCTCAACAAAATGATCCATGTCCAGTTCATTTAATGCCACCTCAGGCACATTGAGCTGATCACCCAAATTCTGGATTACTTGTCGAACAGTCAGCCTATAAGCAACATAGACATATGGTTCCCAAGAATAGACATATGGTTCATCAAAGACCTTGATTCTATACGCAACGAGGAGCTGTTTTATGGAACAGTTCGAGATGAAACTCTGTAAGCCCACATCCACTTCTGCCTACATCGAGTGCATAAATTCGAGCGGTTTTGAGGGTTCCTCTAAAATTTTAGCCGGTTCATGACTAGCAGAAGTGAAAAGAAATAAATCATCAGACCATCAACCAGATGACGATGGATCTGATTCAGAAATTTGATCTTTCTTTCGTAAGCAAACATACTCAATCCGGGCTATGTGCAACCTTGTTTTTCAACATTTTTCGTCCACATTTAAAATATTGCAAAATTTCGCAGCGAGTGGATCATTGGTGTGCTTATCTAGCGACAGTGATCTATAGTTATAGTAACTGCTTACATTACATGAATAAGCTCGCCGAGATTATTTGCCCTTCCTGACTCTCGAATTTCAACTCATCTAGATATCACCGGACTAAAATCTGAAGCATCCAAAAACACCAAAGTTCCAACTGGAATTATTTTTTATAGTTGCTAAAACTTTTGTAAGATATGATTTGATACCAAGCTGCGCCCTTCGTGCTGTCTGAGTTTAACTGAGTTCAAAAAATGGCAGAGTTATGTTTCAGGTAAACCCTCTGAACGTCGCATGTAAAAGCACTTCCTCCAACACTTGCCTCATCAAGGTATTTTAAAGAATTGTAACGTATCCATAACAATTCTTGCGGGGGTAGTAATAAAATCTGAAAGAAAATTCGAACCTTTTGCCGCCGAACCAAATTTCAATACCGCCAACATCTTTGATTTTACGCCCGAAATAGTGCACCTTCTTTAGTGTATCGGCTGCGATTTCGATCGCTATTGTAGTAAGTGCCAAGCCAACAGTTATATATAATATTGTCAGTGCCATAAACGTTTCACTGCAAGTTATTGTTGAAGATGCAGATAAAGAGTCTGCCTTTAATAGAGTATTATTAAATTTGTTTCAGACTTAATACACATGCCACACTGAAAAGACTCGATCACTTTTACAATACCGCCGCGTCGAAGGCGAAACGTGGTACTCATACTCA